TTAATTCACAATAAGATACATTTAATTTTACACTTTTATATTATGCTCCAAGTGAAAATTACCATTAAGAACTTTAAAATTAAAAAATATTTATACATTTTGATTTGTGTTGTCTTTAATTGAAACTATCAAACTAGTACAAAATCGAAAATTATCTCAAATGCTATGCATAAAAAAAAAACTCATAAACAACAAATTATTGTGTTTTTTTACTCATTAAGTAATTATTATTTCAATATTATTTATTTATTTATTTAATCAAACATAGAATAGTAGTGTGGTCTAATTTATAAAGTTGTAAAATATGTGGGTAATATTGAAAAAGTTGTAAAGTTGTTGTGAGAGAATATCTTGAGAATATACTTTTGCGTTTGAGAATGAGTTTTTCGGTTGGAGAAGAATTACTGTTGGATAGGACAATTACTGCAAAATGGGTTTGAGTATGGAGTATTCGGTTGGAGATGGCCTAAGGGGTGATTGTTTATGGATTCAACTAATTTTTGTTTGGTTTGTTTTTTAACTATAGTTAGTTTTGAAAAAAGGTGGTATGATTATTTGTTAATGTATATATTAAAATAATATTTAAGTGTGATAATTAAAGTTGATTTGATGTAAAGTAGGAGAAAAATTATTGGAAGTGATGGTTAGTTAAAATTATGTGAGTGGATGAATAGTGAATTAAAGTTGATGTGATGCGTAAGAATGATTGGTTGATATTATTTAATTTTATTGATAATATAAGAGATAATAGGATTGAGCCCCCTAAGTCTATGTGAAACAAGTTAGGAATATGAGCATGCATCTGGTCAAAACTTTATGATATAAATATAATTTTTGAACTATTTGGAATTGTTTACTTTATTATGGGAATCATGTGGCGGTGTATATAATTCATTAATACTCTAAATATTAAATTTATTAATATATAATAAAGTAACTTAATTAATTTTTAGAAACTACTTCCCGCCAAAAATATTAATTATTGCCTATAAATAGTAATTTAATATAATTTCATAAAATCACTCTTAATTATCCCCGATTAACATTAATTATTGTAAGGAATGGAATAAAAATCATTTTTTCACGCCATTATTTCCGATAAGGAACGTACATACCCAATATGGAATAAAAATCATTTTTTCACGCCATAATTTTTTTCACGCCATTATGGAATAAATATCCTATTCAACACGTTTTATACTTTTGCAGATTTAATATAAAAATAGTTTATATCTTCCACAAGATAATTCAAGCGTACAAATCCATAAGATACATTTTGTGGCCGCATATCGTGCAATTTTTGTACAGTCTGCCAACAAAAAAATAAATATTAGTATTTCAATTCATCAATTAATTAAAGTTGGACTCTCATGTAAAGATTAGTATTTACATTCCTAATAAATTCCCAAAATCCTACACCATCCAATTTTTATTCACTTTCCATAAGTTTGTAATTAAAAGTTACTCTCAACAATTAAATTATTTGAAATTGATATATATTAATTGATTCCTATATATATAGATATCATATTTTATCAACGTCTCCAATTCCTGTCCATAAAAAAAAAACGCATAGAATTTCCGAAAAATATTAAAAAAAAATGAGAGAGTTTTTTGATACTATTCATGTTGTTAATAAGTCCAATAAACCTTATTTGATATTGAGAGTCATTCTAATTATTGAGATGAAATTTGACGTGGAGTCCAATAATTTTTTTGAGATCATCTTTCTAGATCGTGAGGTAATAGTTTGATATGTTATATCTATATTACTAACATCCATAATTTTATTATTTAACTAATTTTGTATAACTTCATATTGTATACGTTCTGCGCATATGCGTGCATTTCGAGGTGTATTTAAGCAAGGCGATATATATGCACTCAGGGACTATGACGTTGAAATTAATAATGGGATGTACAAGGAAACAAATCACCGGTGGATGCTTGTGCTCCATAGCAGGACTTTTGTTTTCTAATACGAGGGAAATTTCCCTACGTATAAATAATTAAGCTTGGAACAATTATAAAAATTAATCAGTTTTCATATTTTTTGGATTTGATATGAATTGTGCACTGCTTTCGTATGATTTTTTTAAATTTAATTTTAATCCATTGTCTTTGAATATTCCTCAGATTGAAACGATGATTTAATTATTTTAATGATGATTTTATTATTTTAATACATGTCGTTGTATAATCGAGATATTATAATCTTTACTAATAATTCATCATTAAAATAACTACGAACCATTAGTTAAACAAATATATGTACTTAACAATAACGGATACACATTTTAACAATTATTAATAATTGCACTGATGTAGATTCTAATATAAATTGTAAACCAATTGTTAGTTGTTGTACTTCAACAGAAAATACAACAAATTGTAGGAGAAGGCGCGACACAAGTCTTCGTGATTATTTATCCATGTCTTATCCAGTCAAAGATCATAGTAACTCTACTTCTAATTGCTTAATATTGGATGAGCTAAATTACGATCGGAAGGCTTTATCTATAGAGCACGAAGCACTTCTTAGTAGAATGACCGACGAGCAGAAGAATGTTTATTCAAAGATCATGGACGCTGTTGATTCTGCTAATGGTGGTGTATTTTTTGTATACGGATATGGCGGGACAGAGAAGACCTACTTGTGGAGAACGTTGTCTGCGGGGTTACGAT